TTACACATTTCCAGACTGATGGGATGGAATGTTTGTTTAGAGATGCAGCGATCATAACAGACACACAGTAATTTCTATTTGGATACAACTCTTCAATGACAGTATGAAAATTTGCTTCAGTGGTTTTCTCACGTGACCTCTGCCATGAAAGATAATATTTTAAAGTTAGCTATTTGCCTAAACAAAATCATCATTTGATGTTTATCTAGACAACTGCTTCATCTCTAGTTCTAGCTGATGTCAAGATGCCTATCTTAGGCCTGTTAATGAAACATTGTATTTTCAAAGATAAATTGCCTTCTGTCTCTAACTGTTCATCACTATATGTCCCCTTAAAATAGCCTCACATAGACTCTACAGGTTTGAAACTACAAGTGATATTCTGATTCAAAAATCGGAGGAAAATATCCATGGCAGGCAAGCTGTGGTCCTTCTTCTTTGACTCTCAGTAGAATGTGTTAGACAGATTAAATACCCAACAGGTGCCAGTCTGACCTGCTGTTGGAAACTTGCAGTACAGACAGTCTATTTTCTTGCTAGGCAACTTATTTCAGTGCTTCGCCAGCCCAGGCATTAATGTCTCTTGATATTGAACCTAAAGTTAACCATCAGTTTCACTTCACTGTTTTTGGTGACGGCCACAGTGAGTCATTTATTTCCTCCTTTTCTGTAGTAAAACTTTACATACACAAAGACTCTGGCCTCTAACTGTACTTTGCTTCCTTACACTAAAAAGTCCCCTATTATTCCAACATTTCCTCATAGCTCATGTGTCAGGATTTCCCAAAATCTTCACTACTCCTTTTTAGATCTTGCTCTTTCTGAACCCCAGACTGGTGTGGGGTAGAAGGGCTTTACAAATCCAGAGTATGTAAATATTTTTGGTTTTTTTAATCTCTCAGCAACATGCAAGTCATGTTTAGCTTGTAATACTACAGAATGTGCTCATGCTTTCTAGCAAAACTGCCTGCGTAGCTCTTACCACTTGTTACACAGACAACTACTCTTAAATGTTGTGTCTTGCATTGGTCTTTATTTAATTATTTTCCATTATTTTAAGATTACTTCTCTATTTTTTATGACCATTTAAATGTCTAATCTTGCCTATCTACCTCTCAATTTCAGCATTTAAAAACTAATAATAAATGAAACAGTACCAGACCCAGAATAGGTTGTTTCAGAAACGACTTGGATACATTTTTCCAGTTTGACAGAAAATTACTAAACTGCTTTATTTTCCTATCAGCTGTGCATACACCTGCAAGTAGTTTCTGCTAAACTGTGTCCTTGTCTTCCCAAAGAATAATCACTTGAGCCAAGGCTCTATCTTTTATTTTAAGTAAGGATACAGGACAACTACTCCTCTTCTAGGCCTGCTACTCTGCAGTAAAGGGAAGCCAAGATTATGTTGGCCATTCTCTTTGAATTCTTCTAAGTATCTTCTATTCACATATTTCCTTCCTGAATCTGAGCCATTTCATGCTTTCTGTATTTCTTCCCTTAAACATGAATAAAACAAAAAGTTCTTTACCTTGTGTTCTCCATCAAGTGTTTTCAGAGTTATATCATAATCAAGCTCTTTATATATATCAATTAAACTCAGTAGCTTTCCATTTTTTCTGGAGTGAGAGGCTGGCAGCTTTATGGTAACATTTATGCAGTTTAGACAGGAACTGATAGTAACTTCTGGTGGTCCCAGAAATGCTATTGAAATAAAATAGAGAAAAAAAAAAAAAAGATGGAAAACTACGCATTCAGTACCAGTTCTATTTTGGTGACAGAAAGATAGTGGGCTAATCAGATTTCAGAGTATGTCACTGCTGTAAATCCATAAGGCCTTGCAACATTTCAGTTTCAGGGGACGGAAGAAGCAGAAAGGTGACAAAGGCTTTGCTTCAGCTCCACAGAGATGTGAGCTTTTTATCTATTTGAGTGGAAAGCTGAGAGTAATGTATGGGAAAAGCTGATTACTTTCTTGCTCATCTTCTAGTCACTCTCTAGAAGGAATCTTTCTAAAAATTCAGTGGTGTGTAGCTCTGCACATATGTGGTTGCAAGGAAAACTGTAAGTCTAAATTTGACAGCTGAGCCCCAAAGACTAAAGAAACCTTAAAGAGCAGGACAGAGGACCTAGTTCAGATCCTCAGAATATATATGTATTTGAAAAGCCACGTACACTAATTGTCTCCTCTCTCCAAAACATCCATCAAGATCAAAGGAAATTCTGTAGTGAATCAAGCCTAAGATTTTTCTCTCCTCCAACACAGGTAAGAAGTAGGAATGTTAGAAAATGCTTTAAGGATAAACTATCTCCATAATTCTCCATTTCTGCATAGTACATTGTGGGGGAAGAAAACATTACAATTTAGAGTTTGCATTTCACTTTTGTCTCTTCTAGAAGCAAGTACATTTTTATAAAACTGAAGATTGGTCTGCCAATCTCTGGAAAATTCAAAAAAGCAACACACATTTGCTGACTACTTCTGTTCCTGAAGTAGGGTAGAAAGAAAAAAAAAGTAGTTTACTACTTAGAATAAATTTGAGCTTTCATCTGCTCTCAAGCAGGAAAACATGTTCTAGTCAAATGGCTGCAGACTTACTCCCTTCTCATCTTTTAAGTTACAAATAAACATTAGTTTCAACGCAGTTACAATTAAATGTGGTTGTTTTCCTGGCTCTTTGCCCTTTCTCTCTTCGCTCAAATGGATTTCTCAACAGGAGAGATTCCACTGTAGGTATTTGAAGGTAGGTATCAACAATACCTGGTATGGAAATATTTCAGAATACTGATTCTTCCCTCTTTAGGCACTCTAAAGCAAGAAAAGACTAAAGAATTCAAATAAGTGCTGGAAAACATGACCTCACTCAGTTTTTATGGTTTGAGCTCCAGAAATACTAGCAAAACATCCAGTTTCAATTTCCAGTTGCCAGTGATGGATACAAGACCATCTGCCACTGTCAGAGCACCTGGCAGTTGTTCCATCAGTCAGTTCAAACTATGCCTCTTGTTCCCAGATAAAATTTCTCTAGCTTCAGTTTCCAGTCAGGGCATGCTGTTACACTTTGTTTACAAGACTGAAGAAGCCTGCCATCATAATAACTAATGGTCAATGCACCTTCTCATCCTTCTCTTTACTACACTAACTGCTGAAAGACTGAAGGCTGCCACCTCAGAAGAATGTTCTTAAATCCTTCAGTTATCCTTGTGGGTATTCTCCACATCTCTGATTTTTCATAATTTCTTAGACTGTAAGTGGACACAGTAGTGGCTACCTCTGTGCTGAATTCAGAGGTAACATGGCCTGTTTCTTCTCCACAGTCCTCCAGCTGTTCCTCTGTCAGTTCACAATTGAATACCAAGCACAACTAAGGGTGAAGCATTAGAAGATGTCACAGCTATTAAGAACCTTCTTTCAGCAAGGAAAGGGAAAATATCAGGTTGATGAACAAACACGTAAATCTCTTCCGCTACACCTAGTGCAGACATGGTGTTTATTGAACTCTTAACATTGACTATTTGAAGACATACAATGCTTTTTTAAAAAAAAAGTTATGTATCTCATGTAGTCACAGATTTTTACTTTGTGCTTCTCAATGCTTGACACAGCACCCTTTCCTCTATATTTTTCTATATATATTTTATCTCAAAACCAGAGCCTTGTCCATTTATCAGAACTACTGTAGCCAGTATTTTGAGAAAGTTATTGATATATTCTATGTCTTGTAAGGGACATGTGATAGATTACATACAAATTCATATTTTCTTAGATAAAGGAATAAGTTACCAACCAAGTTAGCTTGCAGTGTCTTACTGTAAAGCTAGCAGACTATCATTTATACATCAGCTAGGCATAAAAACTACTAAAAAGAGCAAATGCAGATAGAGAACTCACTGTGAGTAAGTGGCATAAAACGAAGCATAGAAGAATTGAATACTTCAGTTCCAATGACGCTCTGAACCAGTGTATAATACACTTGAGAAATGTCTGTAAAATCATCAGTCAGATCACAGGAGAGTTGCGTAATATTTGAACATTGTTTAGCAGTCCTCAAGTTCCTATAAATTAAAGCAAGATTTAAAAAAAAAAAGAAAAAAAAAAGAAAAATCAATGTCTGGATCCTCTCATATAATAAAACATGAGGGGGCATGTGTGTGTATAAGAAGCATTTCTGAGTGAAAAATCAGACATACACACAGGAATATCACAGCCTTAGTATTTTGAGTCAATAAACATTTAAAGTCAGATTTGTGTCATAAAATACAACTTACCTGAGGTCAGTGTACAGCACGCGATAGTATGTTGGCACAGCTGGGGCACTTTTTGCCTGCCAGGATAAAATGTGCTGGAAATTGTGAGATTTCATTTGTAGGTTGTAAGGTGGCCCTTTCAGAAATGTTTCTAAAAAGGGAAAAAAAAAAATCAAAACCAAGCAATGCACCAATATGAATGTCAAACAAATGTGAGATTCCAACAATTCTAATCAATAAACCCAACCAGAGCGGTCCAATACCTAGCCCAAAATAAAGCAATCATAGAACAAAAGGAGTTCAGCACAACAGAAACAACAATGCAAAGTACTGTTCTCCTATATTATACTTCTGTTGACTTCTTTCTTTGAAAAGCATAAAGTTGTAAAATGATGCTTGCTGAGAATATGCAAGTTTTTTTTTAAACTGTGTAAACAAAAGCATTTTAAAGACCATAAAAACTCTTACCAGGCAAGCTGCAACCAGCTGTAGACAGAATGCTCATATACACTGGAAAATGAAACTAGGTATTAATGCATTTTTACGTCCACAATATTTGATTATTAGTGTGCTATTGGCAATATTAAATTTGCAACAATTAAGAGACAATACCCAGCATTCCCCTCAGTTGAATTATTTCTTTCCTTCACATCTTCTTCCCACTACTTTCCTCTGCTCTTCCCTCCTTCCCCACAGTACATCATCTCCCCCTCTCCAACCTATGTAATTAATCTGAGGCTCCTAGGATCTAGTTCTTTGATAACTACACTGTGGTTCAGGCTTATGCTGATCCCTGACAGATGAGAGTCAAGACTCAAGTGTGAATAAACGGAGTTAAGGTGTTCTTATCAAATACTGTCTTAAAGGATACTGACTATATTACAGGTAGCTCACTTCATCTATTAATCACCATTTTAAGTCACAACAAGAATCTTAAAACTAGTCTGGGAAAAATGTTGTTGCTCCTTGAAGAACATTATTGAATCATCTTCACAGACACCATTCTTTGCTAAATGTGGGGAGTCCTCCAGGCTGTAGTTTAACAACTTTGGTATATAATGCACTGTCTTCAGTCTGCTACCTCCTGTAACTCCCTAATTTCAGGCTCTATTTTCTAACTCCCTTTCTATTTTGTGTCCTGCTTTGGTAACATTTCCCTGTGGGGTGTTTACAGAATTCTATTCTCTGCCTGCAAAAGAAAAGAAAAAGCCACCAACAGATGATGCAAAAGGACACGGTTAAGGCTATACTCAGCCTGTCAAATCAGGCCTACTGTCTGAGCAATGTCTTGAATCCAGCCTTCTTGCAGATCCTGACATTCTAGATCCTGACACATCTACTGGTATGACCTCTGTAACAGGCTGTTAATTCATGCAGATTCTCACTGTGTCCAGAATTCTTTTGCTTGATCAGAATTTGCACCTTTTCAGCATGGTGCTTCAAGTCACTCTTAACATTATTTTTCTGACCCTTCTAATTTTTTTCTCAAGATACTTTAGCTTCCTTCCTCTTTTTGAGTGCAGAAAATATAAACTTGCTGACCTAATTTTAAAGGCATTTTGTGGCCTATCCTCCAACTGATGAGACACAGATACCCATACTTAAGTTGGCCAAAGAAGTTACTGGTTTAATTTAAATATGCCTGTTTTTTCTCATGCTTTAGATGAACTACATAGAAATACCTGAAAATTATTTCATTATTTCCCCCAAAACTCTTCTCGTGAATTCTCTTTTGTCTTTACACCTAAACCCCCTACCCAAAACTATGACAACACTCAAAACACTGCTGGCCTACTACCTCTCTGTTGAACTGTGTGCTGATTAATACTGCCTTAACATGTTTTCATTTTCCTCACCTCACTTAGAATGGTAACTTCTGTAGCTTGAGGAATGTTTTTGGCTTTACATTTGTACAGCAACAACTCAGTCTACAACTGAGGTTCTCAAGTATCACACTATGAGAAATAACGTAACAGAACTACTTGATGTGCCACAGAAGGGATAATAATGAAAAGAGAAATCAAGAACATAACTCACAAAAAAAACCCCAAAACCCAAAAAATCTTTATGGACATCTACAAGTAATGTATAAGAGAAGTGATTGAGGCTGGAAGAGATTTCCAGAGCCAAGCCCTGATTATGTGAAACATAGTACCAGAATACATATTCCTGGTAAAGCACAGGGGATTCAGAATAGTAGTGGGCCTGTGGGAACTGTCCCATCTCAGAAACACTGGGAGAATTTCCTAATGGATTAATGCAGTTATTGTATAATCCTTGTCTACTTCTGCAGAGAGTACTGGAAGAGGAAAGGAAAAATTTCCTACTCAGCTAAAGAGATCTGCACAGAATCTTTAAATCTGTCTCTTCAGACATCTGTCTCACAAACATTAAACTATGCTCTCAGCATCCTTTCTGAAAATAGATGCAAAGACATTAATGCAGCTCACTTGAGTTGCACATGCAGCAAATTTATATTTGCACAAGACAAAAACTTCATCTCTCTCAAGTTTCTTTTTGCCATTCAAACCACAGACATCCTCTCTCTTGTAAATCTTCCTTTTGCACTTGCTCTTCTATGTTATTACAGAATAATAAAGACCCCCTTATGGAAGTGCAGTTGAAAGCAGAACAATTGATTTCTTGCTATATGGTAACAGATTATGTATTTGGAAAACACATCCAGTGGGTATGAATAACAAAACAATTCTCTAACAGCTACTATTCTTTACCCAAACACAAGCTCAGACTTGTAACAATTTGTTGCAGGAACTCTCCCTTCTCCCAGCAGGCACACAGTCTTTAGCACATTAAGAAAGAGATAGTGTCAGTGCAAACTAGTAATGACACGCTTATTCGGAGCAAGCCCCTCAGATTAGAATATACAAACTGTCTTTTGTCATCTTCCCGTATGCCAGCTACCTCACATGTCATCTGTCTTACTCATTTATTTCCTGCTGGTATGTTCTTCTATTCTGTGCACATTTGTGATTTTTTTAACTGCCTTTCCCCTATCAAAATCAAATTCTGTTATCTAGAGTTCAAACTGCCTCAGAACTTTGTTTAAATGGACATGTTTAGGAAAGACAGTTGAAGAGTTGCAAAACGTTTTAGGTTCCGCTCTTACATAAGAGACACAAACAAGAAAAAAACCCAACAACCCAAATAATCAGCAAAATTAAGACTGGAGAAATAAAGATGGCCTGTAAACTGAATGAGGAATCTTCTTTACCATCTTATTCTTTTTACAGAATTGAATGATCCTATCAAAAGTGTTTCCTACTACAAATACGGCTCAGCCAACAAATGATGTTTGTTGTGCCTGCTAATCTAAAACCTAAGGAGTCCTGAAAAAAATTAGAACAAGAAATGAAAACCAACACATCCAACTAAGACTCCACTGGACATTTGGAGGCAGAAGGCAGTACAATGTTTCAAAGCATTTTTAATGTGAAAATCATGCTTTATGCATAGAATGGGAGTATGTAGAACATAATACACAGGATCACAAATTGGTTTGGGTTGGAAAGCACCTTAATGACCATCTAGTTCCAATCCCCCTGCAAAGGTAGGGACAGGTTGCTCAAAGCCCCATCCAACCTGGCCTGTCTCTGGGAAACCTGTTTGTGTCTCACCACCCTCATAGCGAAGAATTTCTTCCTAATGTCTAACCTATATCTACCCTCTTTCAGTTTAAAGCATTTACCCCTAGTTCTATCACTACGTTCCCTTGTAAAAAGTAGGTGAATTATTCCAGGGAGAGCTCTATAATGAGATGATGGAATCTTGCTTCGGTAATTCAGAAGTGTCAGTGAAAAATCAGAGGTACTACTCTTCTTACAATCTAAAGTTACAGGCAACTTACCAAGGTGATAAAAATGCATTGGTCCGTCCATCAGTGTTTTCATAGTGGTTAAGCAATATAACCCACTGATTGTAAAATAAGCATTTTGCTTCTGTACCTGCAAATACATTTAAACCAATCACATTCAGCAAATCATCTCTGTAAATTATTTGCATGTAAAACAATGTCTTCATAAAGAGTTATTTTAACCTCTTCAATGCCTGGGGGGAGATAGTGGTACTGAAACAGTTACTGCTATCAGGGATGGGTGGGACAAGGATCCTCAAATGGGCAATTTTATAACAGCACTTTCCTTCTTTCACATGGGAAGGGCTCTTACCATTTCAAATCAATACAGAGGGCATTATTTGTATTGTTTTGCGTGATGATACCATCTGAAAATTCTATGCTATTCAATCCAACTTACTAAATACAACAAAAACAAACACTGCTTGGCTTTATTTGAAATACTGAAGAACTCATCACTGTTGTAAAAAGTTTTCTGAAAGAGGGTAGATCAAGAGTGAGGTTAGAAAAAGAAATAAATTACTAATTATAAGGAAGTTATGAAGCTAATGTTACAACTTTGAACACATATAAATCAATTTAAATATTCCCTCTTCTTGACGTGATTATTTTACTCTATTTATTATCTTCAGAGTATTCATATTTGCATCATCAGGTTTTGAATTACAGGCAAAATACTAAGGAACAACTGTGAATATACAGATTACTGGGCAAGTGTATAACTATTTCCAAATAATCTTCTCCTCAGGTTAAACACAAATAAATTGTGTTTTTGACTAAACAGTTTAAAATCACGACATAACATATACTATGGTCAAACTTAACAAAGTATGTTAGAATCAAATTAAAACCCCCTTATCTGAGATGTCAATCTTCCTCTGCCCCAAGTTTTAGAATGATTATAGAAAGTCACTAGATATATGCTGAGAATCTGTATTTGTGCAACTGATAATCGTAATTTCACAGATAATGTTTTATTTCATTACAGTTTGGTTAATTTTATTAATTCATTGAAGCATGAGGAATATTTAGGAGATATAAAATGCCAGTCTCCAATCAAAATTAAAAATCATGCATATGAAAATAATATTTACTACTTACAAAATCTTTATCACTGATATCAGCAAATGGTAAAGCGAATAAGTAATTTTATTATATATAATATACATATCTATAATTCAGATCCACTTTATAGATTATACAAGTAGAAAAAAAATAATCTATGCCTACAAGGTTATCAGCTTTATTTTAAAAGCCACAGAGAAACTGAGAGCCAAAAATTTTACTTTCACAGTTACTTTAAAGAACAGTTAGTTGCACCTGTGAGATCTGCTTTTTCAGGCTGCCCAAAATTTTCTCTTAAGGAGAAAACTTTCGAGGATCCTGAATTCAACTTTACGTCTTAATGTTTGCAACTAATCACAAGACATGTTCAAAGCACTCCATATATAAATGGATGTAATTGTATACCTTTGAACCTTGATATACACGCTGTCACCAATAACACTTGGAATCTGAAGTGACCTGTTTATGGCTCCGTATGCTGAAAACCACATCCTACATGATGCATATTCAAAGCCAAGTTATGTGTTTAGCACCTTAGAATGCATAAGAAAAATGTGACGAAACAGGACTGCCTTTGAGTTTGCATGCTTGTCTAAACCTAGATGTCCTCTGCAGAGCTATCAATGCCGGTGATATTCCAGGGGGAAATCCATGGGAAGGCCATTTCCGTCGAAAACGCCCGATTAGTTTTTGTTACTCTCCCTCCTCAGAGCCTCAGCATTCCCTTGGGAGAAGCCAGGCTAATAATAGTGAGTCCAGCCCCCGCTCCCCTCAGCAGCCTCGGCTCACAGTGACCCCCCCCGGGAGCTGCCTGAAGCCCCCACCACTTTCAAAACTCAGCTCCACACTTCCATGTCATCTTCACTGGAAACTCATTTTTAACTGCAGTTCACGCCGGGTTGTTTTGCATCTGCTTCCTAACACAAGAAAAGAAGAAGAAAAAAGCAGGCTTTGAAGTTCAGAAACCCACTGGCTTGCGCTTCAGAAAAGCTCCAAATCGGAGCAAAATACACTGTTTTTCTGAAACCAGCAGATGGTCTATTTATGTACAGAAACCTGCTTATCGGAATATTGAGAGGAAGACCGAGAGGCAGACACGGCAGGAGATGTTTCAGGCAGAGAAGTCAGCAGAGGAACCAACTGAACTGACAGAGGTAACGGAACATACGGATGACTTTGCCACTGCAGTTACGCTAGGGAATGGCACTTCAGGGCACGCCCGTGCTCCGGTCCTGGCTTTGCTGGGGGGCCCTGGGTAAGTCTTCAAAGGACACAGAAATCATTTAGCCTTAGTATCGCCTCTGGGAACTGAGCAGTTCCCAGGCGGTGCCAGCTCCTGCAGCATCATCACCGCATCCCCGCACGGCCCCGGGCCCTCCCGCACGGCCGGGGGGACCGCAACACGCTCTGCCTGGAGACCCCGGCAGAACGTTCATCCCGACAGATTCCCGACGTGCATCGAAACCACAAGGCACCCGCAGACGCTGGCTGGGATCGGCCTTCA